CACTGTCTTTGACGCCGTGCCACAGCCAATGACTCCAAACCCTCTTGAGCTGGGAACGTTACGTGAATCTTGGTGAGTTTGGTGAGGGTTTAGGGTTGAGGAATATCCAACATGCCTGAAAATACGATCCTTGACTAACCCTGCGGGTCCAGGTACCTGACTAAACCCTAAACCCCAAACCCAACCCGAGCACCTGATTATCAGGTGCTTTGGAACCCTTGGGTGTGCGTTAAGGGGCCCTAAACCCTAAACCCTAAACCCTAAACCCCTAAACCCTAAACCCTAAACCCCTAAACTAAGCGAGGGGCCGAAACCGTCGAACGACAGGCCCCGAGCGCTCTGGCCGAGGGCCTAACAGCCCGAGCGCCCCTACGAAAAGAGCGGGACGCGGAGAGGGGAGGGTAAAGCCTCCCCGGTCTGACCTGCACAGGTCAACTGTGTAAAGCCCATGGCAGACCCCAGCGGGAAGTTTTCGAAACGAGGGACCGCCGTATCGGGACCGCCTCTATAGCGTAGCTATATAATAACCCCAAACCGTGCCCCATTTGCTCTGGACCCCCTCTTTTGGGGTTAGGATTTAGGATTTTAGGATTTAGGATTTGGGTTTAAGATCTAGGACTCAGGATTTGGGGTTTAGGATTTAGGATTTAGGATTTAGGGTTTAGGATTTAGGATTTAGGATTTAGGGTTTAGGATTTAGGATTTAGGATTTAGGATTTAGGATTCAAGATTTAGGATTTAGCCTCCGGACATTTGGATTTTTGCTGGTGATTTTCAAGTGACAGATTCTGTTCATAAAATGTGCCTTTTAGACAAGGCCGGTTGCGAATCTCGAGGTCCCCTCCTTTCTTTTCGTGTGGCTGCTCTTAAGCTTCCGGTTTTCAATATTTAGTCTCACTTGTCCTTTTCGGAAAAGGACAACCAGCTCTAAAATCTAGATTTAGGATTTAGGGTTTAGGATTTAGGATTTAGGGTTTAGGATTTAGGATTTGGTGTTTTGGATTTAGGATTTAGGGTTTAGGATTTAGGATTTAGGACTTAGGATTTAAGATTTAGGATTTAGGATTTAGGGTTTAGGATTTAGGATTTAGGAACCAGCTCTAAAATCTAGATTTTCCAAAGCTATCAAACGATAAGGTTAAAGGGCCGAGCCGGCCCTGCCATGCCGAAGGCCCGAAAAGGGCCGAGGCTACTCCCAGCCGTTGCCTAGGCCACAACTTCAACAACTGGAACGTTCATGGGTGCAAAAATATAAAAGCCCCCCTTGATAGGGGGGTTGGGGGGTAGAAACCCTAAACCCTAATAGAGTATAGTTTGGGTGGCTGGGGTGGGTTTACAAGCAACGCGAGCGCGCGGCCCGGGGTGCTTCACACCCGAGCGCGCGACTTCGCCTGCCACACCCTAAACCCTAAACCCTAAACCCCTAAGCCCTAAACCCTAAACCCTAAACCGAAGCCCCAAACCCTAAACCCTAAACCGAAGCCCCAAACCAGAACCGTCGACCGCCTTTTGGGAATGTTCCGGCTTTCTCACCACAAAAAGCTCGGACAACTGAAGACGCCTCCTACTTGGTGGATGATGGGTTTAGGGTTTAGGGGTGATGGGACATAGTATCTATAGGTCTGTACATAAGGGCAAGTAGAGGTGTATTTACTTCTAACTCCAATCAAGGTGCGTTTTTTCTCTCCAATTTCGGCACTTCGAACTCCAATTAAGGTACTTTTAACCTTACTAACCCTAAACCCTAAACCCTAAACTCTAACCCGTACTTACCGACCAGGTCCGAAGATCCCCCCAAGTCGACCAGAAAACCTGCACCAACAAAACGCGAAAGATGACGGAATATTCTGGCCTTCATAATTGAAGTGAGGCTTCTTGACAAAGGGCTTCTTAAAAGGCTTGCAGAAGGGGGATCCTATAAAAGTTTCATTTAAAGCGGTCCATAAACAAACTATTGAAAGGGCTCCTGACAAGAGGGTCCATGAGCGTTCCATTCATGATAGGTGGTGTTGGTGCAGCTTGGGTATAGGAACCTTCATTAAGAATCCTCCCTCAGGAATAGTATCAGAATTATCCAGGCTTATACCCATGAAGCCAAGATGCAAGAGCAACAGAACAGCAGACCATGCCATGGCCCGGAGAGTTCGTCCAATACCTGAAGGTTTTCTTCCTTCTTCAGTTAGGGATTTAGGGTTTAGGATCCAGGAATTAGGTTTAGGGTTTAAGGGTTCTGCTATACGAGTTACTTACGAGCTTGCAACTACTTAGGGAGAGTTCGTTCAATACCTGGCGCCAGGGTCTTGAGGCTGGGGGTTTCGGCTTTTAGGGTGTAGGGGTGCTGAAGGTTTTGGGTGAAGGTTTAGGGTTTTTGGTTGAGGGGGTCGTTAGTCGTGAGTGTTTCTCAAAGGGGAAAAGGAGGGACCTTTACTGGGGATCCCTACCCTAGAATGAGGCTATATAGTGGGTATATAATAGCTATATTAAGGATATACACCTAGGGGTCCTTATTAAGGGTCCCTCCTTTTACCCTTCGAGGTTCGGGCTCCAGGGCTGTTGTGTTGCAGCCGCTACGGCTTTGCAGTGCCAGCTGATTGCTTCTGCATCCTCCTTCCCAGGCGCGGGATCCGAAAAGCAGGTTCCCGAATTTGGGACCCTGTGCGAATAAAGGGGACTTCATAGGAACGAGTTGTACTTTGTGGATCCTCCCAGAATTCTGGGATCCGGTGTGAGGTATTGAAAGTTCAGGGCTGCATTGGGGCATGTTTCAGCTGGTTCTCTAAAGTTGCTGCGAAAGGCCTGATTCTTGAAGGCCTCAACAAGTGGGCAGAAGGTAAGTAGGATTAAGGATCCCTTATATAAGGACTCTGTTGGAGTCTGTCAATGAGCACTCGGCAACACAATACAACTAGAAGTGCTGTACATACACCCTAAACCCTAAACCCTAAACAACCCTAAACCCTAAACCCTAAACAACGTCGTACTGTATATTGCCCCACCTACCTTCATCCCACCCATGAAGCCCTTTGACATTTTTGTTTTTGAAAGGCTTGTCGCCAAAACCCCAAAAAGCGCCGAACCAAGGCCCTAAGCCCTCAACCCTACACCCTAAACCCGCCAGAAAACCTAAATCTCTCAAGAGATCTTTGAGCCGAGGGAAACCCCAAACCAATAAACTGTTCTAAACACTAAACCCTGAACCTAAACCTTAACCCTCAAGCCTAAAGCTCACTACCCCAAATCCCTGAAACCTACCTCCAAAAACTCTGAAGTCCAACACCAGGCCGCCGGAAGAACTTGGAAAGGAGCCCCCCAGATTAGTTCGAGATCCGGGGAATTGGGTTTGGGATGTGAGGGTTAGGGTTCAGGTTTTTTGACGTGGGGGTCAGTTGGGGTACGTAGATCCCCCAAGTACGCTTTGTCGAACCGAACTTTCAAGACATAGCACCCAAGTTTGGTACCCTATAATTCCGAGGTGTGCTTGAAGGATCGTTGGGTCTAGCAGGTAGCATCCCCTCATAATTTAAGAAGAGCGCGCAAGTATTACGAGTGTCTACTGTCTAGATCGTTTTCCACCCTAAACCCTACATAAATCGTAGACCCCCGAACCCTCAAGCCGACGGGTGTGTGGGGTCAAGGGTTTGGGGTTTAAGGTTTAGGGTTTAGCGTCTGGGGTATGAAGTTGGAGTTGGACCGTCCATGTCAAGATACTGCTCGACTTAGAGGCATCGGCCTCTCTCAATAGGGCTTATGCTTTGTCATTTTTGTCGGGACCCCATAAAGGGCCTAAACAAACACCTCTTTTAGTAAGCCAATATGTTATATTATCCCACCCAAAAGTTTATGGTTGGGTGCTTTTGGCTCTCGAGTCTAGGACAGCTTTAGCACTTGCCGCTTTTTTGCCGCAACCAGGTGATGCGGGTCTTGCAATTGCAGGTCTCGCAACGCCTGCGACCTACAAACCCATGCAAGGATCCAGAATGCAACCCTTAAGCATAGCTGCTCTAAATGCAGAAGGTGCACCATGTTTTGGGACCCCCAAAAGCACATAAGCACAAGCATTTTATAGGGATATCCCTACCTTATTGGGCTTCATTATAAGGGGATTTTTTATGGGATATCCCTATCCTTAGTTTTGCTTATGTGCTTTTTGGGGGCCCTAATGTTTTTGGATTCCCTTTGCTAGGCCCCTGCTAGTGGACTCGTTCATGCTCTCCCTCTCAGGATGTTAGGACATCAAAACCAGGAAAGGCAAAAAGGATCCCTGACGCCAAACCCTACCCCCGTAATCCTAAACAGTAAACTTTCAACCCTCGAGCCAACTTCGAATTCTTATCCTACTTGGAGGGTCGGGGGACTTAGTATGTAGGTATTGTTTGGAGTTAATTGCACCATAATCCTACTTCAAATACCACTTGAGGCACATGTAACTTTACGGATTACCTGCCTCCGACACTCCAAACATACCGTAAACCAAAGTCCTATATCCTAAACCCAAGAGTGACCCAGGAATAAAAGGGGTGCCCTGTTCGGTTTAAAGTGGCTTATAAGGGAACCTGAACCCTAAAAAGGGAATAAGGGCCTACTCTAACCCTAAGCCACCTCCAGCTTTCTTGGATCCTTTCTGGGTTTAGGGCACAGGAAGGTTCAGATGCACGATGTCTTGCAGGAAAGGACAGCTGCAAATCTGAAAGTAAAACGACCGCTTGCTATACATTTTATGCATTTTCAAGTGCAGCTACTATACCATGTTCTTCTGATTAGATTGTACGTGCTGTGCCCTGAGCCTCCAAGTACAGACCCTGCTTGCATGTGAGGCCAATACAAAGGCCTGAACGATTAGAGTAGGGGCTTTGGGGTGAAGTAAAACTGTTATGGTGTGTATATTGCATATAATATATATATATATATATATATATATATATATATATATACACATACATTTTTTATACATCTGTCTGGGAACCAAAGGAATACTATCGCCAGATAGTCCGGCCCCGATGTTACTCTGAGGAGCCTCTGGTGAAATCTTGAAGCGCGGCGATCACATCCAGACAATCCGAGGTAGGAAGGTTCGCAGCCGTAAGGATCTTGAAAAGCCTCGTCATGGCGTAGATATAGGGTTTAGGGTCTAGGATATAGGGTTGGGGTCCAGAATTTGGTGCAAAAAGATTTGCGAGGAGGGTTTAGGTCTACATAAGTGGCCAACAGCCAAAGAAAAAGAATCCTATGCCAAAACAACGGTTAAAAATCGTAAAGAAAACTCATACCTGCTCCAAATAAGAAGGCTGGCTACTATACTCTCAACCCAAAACCTCAATCCCCAAAACCCTCAGTCCAGTTATGTAGGGCTGAAACCTAATCCCAAACCCTCAATCCTAAATACCCTAAACCCCAAACTCCCAACCCGACACCGAGAGGAAGGAGCTCTGAGAGGAACCCACGGCTGCAGGACCCAGTCATTAGCCTTGACCCAAGAATAACCTAGGAATAAAAAGGGTGCCCTTTTTGGTTTAAAGGGGTTTAAAAGGGAATCTGAACCCTAAAAAGGGAATAAGGGCCTACTCTAGGTCCTAGTAGCAGTCTCCCGTTACAGTCCTTCTATGATTCAGGGGCCTTGAAAATTGAAACAGGTTTTGGGGACATGTCATACTATAAGTATAGTCAGTTACACGAATAGTACGGACCACCAAAAAAGTATCGGTAAGAAGTTCGGCCCCTAAGGTAACTATAGTAATTTCACGCCCAGCAGCATGTGCGGATTGTCCTTGTATGGTTTCAGCCGTCCCAGTGTCAGCCCTTCCATGGCCAAATGCACGCGAGTAGCGGGCATCTGCGTGAGAGAACGAATGAAGGGGCAGGTGCAACGGTCCTTGGCCCATGCTTTCTTTAGGGCTTCGGGTATCTAAGGGAATGACTTTGGGTTCAGGATTCTGGGCTCTTTCTGGCTTCTGGGCATGGGGTGTATAGAATTCTGGGCCGGTTCTGGCTTCAGAGCTCACGCGGCCTAAACCTTAAACCCTAAACCTTAAAAGGCCCAAACCCTGAAGCCCCGCACTCCCCATGCCCTCTTAGACCCAGAGCCGTCTAAACCTAATATGAGGCCTTGATGGTGTTAATATGGGTTTCGGGATGTTTTTGAGTTTTGTGTGGCATATTACGGAGCCCGAAGGAATGGTGCTGTAGACCCCCATATTCTGATGCGCTATATTAGACGAAAAATTTAATAATCCCTTGGACTTGTTATTATCGTAAGCATTGCGAGCACTTGCTAAAAGCTTTATTAAAAACTAGCTTGGCCCCTTAAAGCCTCTGAAAAAATGTTCGTAAATAAGGTCCTATTAAGCCCAATAAGGGAAAATATAACATGTCCCAAAGGCCTACCTAGAAAACTAGTGCACAGCCGACGAAGGATCTAGTAGAATGTAGGGTTTCTATATTAGGAATTATTATTATGATTTGGGGAAGCATCCCCCATAACAGTACATAGGGACCCTTTGGGAAAACTATTGTATGGCCGGCGCAGGCTCGGTCTTGCTGTTCTCCTTCAGGAGCTCTTCTGCAAAGTCCACAACGGCCTCGCCCGGAACGGCAACACCTCGGGGCTCTTCTAGGATACCCAGTAACCTAAGAATAAAAAGGCCTCTCTTTTTGGTATTGGGTAACTTTATAAGGAACCTAGGACTACAAAAAGGGAATAAGGGTACTACTGGGCATCCTATTTGTGTATGTGGCTCTAGGTGCCCTGTCTTGGTTTGAGGGTTTTGGGCGCACCATTAAGGCTCAAACCCTAAACCCTATTCCCCTAAACCCTAAAACCCCTAAACCCCCAAACCCCAACACCCTACACCCTAAACCCCTATTACACCCTAAACCCCTAAACCCTGAACCCCTGAAACCCCCAAACCCTAACCCGGATTACACCCTAAACCCCTAAACCCCCAAACCCTAAACCCATAAACCCTAAACTCGACAGCGACAGCTAGCAAAACAAGGATTGTGCTACTTCCACAGGCGTTGTAGCCTCTGGGCTCTATGCAGCTGTCCGTCTTCCCTAGTTTGTCTCACTTTGTGTGGATCCTGCTCTCAACTGGATGTGGCTTCTTGAGAGTCACAAGGCTTGAAACCCAGACGCAGGAGTTAAGCACTTAAAACCCCTAAACCCCCAAACCCTAAACCCCTAAACCCTAAACTCGAGAGCAACAGCAAGCAAAAAAAAATGGATTGAAGCCCAGAGGCAGGCGATAATGATGTAAGTCACCGCCACCCTGGGCTGGGGCTGCGCATTTTGAAGAATGGCGATTTTAGGGCTTTCAGGGTTTAGGTTTTAAGGGTTTAGGGTTTTAAGGGTTTTCAGGATTTAGGGTTTGGGGTTTAGGGTTTTAGGGGTTTTAGGGTTTTGGGGGGAAGCTTTTAAATTTAACTTAAGCTAAACAACTTTCAAGAACGGCCTAGAATCGCATACAGTCCGATCCCCTCGCCGTCTGAAAACACCATGAAGCGGCCTGTACCGTAGACGATCTCGCCCCATGCCTCATACAACATGTAGAGCCTGCGTGGCGGCGCTGAGGGAATGGTTCAACCCCAAACCCTAAACCGTGAGCCTTTCTAGTTTTACACTACCGGCATAAGCCAAGAATTGAGCTAGGTTGCTGAAGATACCCTTAGAAAGAGTACATACTGGAGCATCAAAACAGCAGACAAGCACACCATTGAACAACCCAACATGAGAACGCGTGACATAGATGCACAACCAAGAGGCTGGATGATGTAAATAGCACTCAGGACCATCAAAGTCACAACGCCAAAGCGTAAGCACAGCCAAACCTCCTTTGCTCTGCGCTTGTTCCTTCTGGGGTTCGAGACCACGACCACGGTCAGCAAAATGATGTTCAGCATGAAGGAATTGATCCTGAGTTCTCAAGATACCAAAGCAACAGATGTAATTAAGCACGGCTCGACCTTTAACCAGCACAGCACCGTGCTGAGGGAGCGAGGACTACAAGCCTAAAGCATACATGCAAGAAGCTGAACCCAAACCTCTGGACTTGGTATAGTGGCCATGCGCTGTGATACACTTCATCTCAAAGCCGTGAACCCAGCAGCCCTGCTACTCCCAGTTGCCTGTAACGGCACAACTAGACATACATACATACATACATACATACATACATACACATGCACATACACGTACACATACACATATGCATATGCATATATAAATATATATATATATATATGTACATACACATGTATATGCATACCGTTGACACCAGTGTATGAATCTCAGAAGTGAGTTGGGATTTCCAGGGTGCTTGCCGTGTGTTACAACATCTAAACCCTAGACCCTTAATCCAAAACCTAAACCATAAACCTTGGGAATGTTACTGGCTCAGAAAAACTGAAAATTCGGCAAAGTTGAACCACCAAAAAAGACAGACAGCACAGAAAAGCCCCTAAACCCTAAACCCCAAACCGCCGTAATTTCTAATCTTTAAACCCTTAACCGACACACAGCGCAGAAGTTGCTCCACAGACCCGAAGGTCGCAACCTTCGAGAAGCTGGAGAGGCGCGACAGGTACAATTCCTTAGGGGCTGAGTACCCTAGCCCAAAAAAACTTTGTCAATTCTGGCAGCAAAATAATAACTCCAAAAAGTTAAAGGCAAAAAACTTTGTCAATTATGGCACGATGATGATAACTCCAAAAAGTTAAAGCCCAAACCTTTTCAAATATGGCAGGATTATAATAACTGCAAAAAGTTAAAGGCTACCTACTCAGCTACCAAGATTCTGCATCCTCGAAACCCGCCTGAAGGTTCGGAAGGGCTTGTGGGTTTCGGGGTCCCGGGGTTTCCGGCTTTACCGGCTTTAGGGTTTTATAGGGGTTTAGGGCTTTAAGGGTTTAGGGGTCCAGGGGTTTCCGGGTTCAGGGTGCAGTAGGGGTTTTGGGACTAGGGTTTACGGGTTTAGGGTGCAGTAGGGGTTTTGGGATTAGGGTTTCCGGGTTAAGGTTCTACAGGGTTTTGGGGTCCAGGGGTTTCCGGGTTTTAGGGTGCAGTAGGGGGTTTGGGATTAGGGTTTCCGGGTTTAGGGTTCTACAGGGGTCTTGGGATTGGGGTTTCCGGCTAAGGGTTTGGGGTTTAGGGCTTATTCGGGTTTAGGGGTTTAGGGGTTTGGGTTTCCTACTTGTCGGGTATCATGGGCAACTAAAAGTTAACCTTGTTGGTTATATAGGGACTATACTACCAAAAAAAGATTAAAGCGAAGAATCCTGAACATTGGCCAAGCCGCGTCGCTCAGATCAACAGATTGGAAGATTCCTAGGCTCAGTTTCAGGGTAAGTGGTCAGAGGACTTAGCAGCTAGCTTATTTGTACTTCTTGCCACTCATGGCACTTATGCCTCTACTTAACCGGCCTACCAACTCCTCGGATCCTTTCAGCAGAGCGTCTCCCGATGGCGACGGAGTTCACGATCATCATAGTACTTAACCTGGGCTTGGTAGTGATTGTATAGACTTCTATTTCATAGTGGTCCCCTTTAAGTACCAGGTCAGCAAAAAAGTGCATTAGAGTCTGGTACTTCAAAGCCCGGTAGCAGCTTCTGGATGCTGTCCGGGTCAGGCTTCATGAAGAGCGGCGTCAGTGCGATGTTCACAAAAGGGATCCAAGTCAACCAAAACCTGGTCTGTTCTTGGAGCCAAGCCCCTGCATAAGGTACCAGCCTAAACCCTATACCCTAAACCCCCGGCACCACAAGGTAACTTTTGTGATAAGTTATAATCATGGGTCATAAATAAGGTAGCATATGGTAACTGTGAGGTATATTTATGTATCACCCCACTTAGGGTACTTGTAACCTTACTAAGTATTTCCCATGATCCTTCAAGTAAACCTGAACCCCCAGAATCGAATCTCAACTATCTGACTCTATGAGAACTGTTGTCCTGAGTGGTCAAATTAGCCCCACAAGGTTGCAGGTTCCCTGAACCCTAAACCCAACCCTAAAGCCAAGGAGCAAGAATCGCCGGAGGGGCGTCAGTCTCTGCTCATAGATCAAGTGCCTAAGCCCCCACAAGGCGGTTTTGGGAGGGTTTATGGTTCCTAGAGCTTAAACCATCGAAACCCTAAACCCTGAAACGGTATAACCGTCGATCCTCAAGCCTAAAGCCTAACCCTGAACATGTACAAACATGTAAACCTTCCATTAGCACCGAGCACCGTGGGCCTGGCTTGCATAGTTTAGGGCCTGGGCATTTAGGGTCTGCCTAAACCCGGAATGATCCACCTTTGTGTAAGGACTTGTATAAAGAAATCATATTAAGGAACAGGTAGGGTCTTCAGGGGTAAGGTGGGAATTGATCAGGGTTTGGGTTTGGGGACTCAGGTTTGCGGTTTACGGCTTCGGGCTTGCAGGGTTTAGGGTTCATGGATTAGACTAAGCAGTTTTCAGGTAGAGAAACTTACTTGAGGCACCTTTATACTTTTGCGGCGCGCAAGTACCCTGAGACCCCAATTCCCTTTCTTGAGGAATTTACCTTTACCCATGAAGCCCCTGACAACCTAGACCTAACAGTAACCTGGGAATAAAAAGGGTGCCCTTTTTGGCTTAAAGTTGGTTAATTATGAGGGAACCTGAACCCTTAAAAAGGGAAAAAGGGCCTACTCTAGGTCCTGACAAGTGAAGGCATATTGCTGAATAAAGGGTTGGGCTCTCTGGGAAGAGCCGACAGAGAACCCCGCACATCACCTCTGCTGTCGGATTGGAGCCTCTATCTTGCTAAGTTTCTGGTATGAGTATATAGGTGTTATCTTTGTATGTATGTGTATGTATATACATAAATGTAACAGATGTATGTGTATGTGTGTATATATAATATATAGCAGAGGAAGAGTTATATTCGGAGTCGGCTGCCGATCCACCAGAGTTACACAGGGTCTTCTGTTACACAGGGGTATTCTGTCACACAGGGTCTGCTGTTACGCTCTTCTCTTAGGCAAGGTGCTGAGAAGTCCTTATGTTAGAATGGCTTAGCTAGACCAGGCTTGGTTTGGTTTGCGTTGGGTGGCTTTCAACTGCTAAACGTACTATAGCGCGAACACACACATGCGTATGCTTATGTCAGATCATATACATATGCATACATATGTAAACAAATATGTATATATATACACACATATATGTACATGTGTCTATATATATATATATACATACATAATATCTCTACATATATATATATATATAAGTGTATATGCTTATGTATATGTTGTATGGTGTTTTATATGTTATGTATATATGTACATATATACATATGTCTGTATATAAGCATGTGTATGTGTATATATACATATATGTATGTACCTACGTACATATGTACGTATGTACGTATGCGCATATGCACTTATGTACGTATTTATGTATGTATGCATGTATGGATACGTATGGATGGATCTATGTATGTAACTCTATCTGTCTGCCGGTCTGTACATGCATATAGATAGCACAAACGATTGCCGGTGTATTTACGCACACATGCATACACACATATGTGGCATTGTACATTCATCTTTGAACATGTACATATATGAATACCGACACGCTATATGTACACATGCGTATAGGTATGATTGTTTCTATATGTATCTGGGTATTTTCAGGTATTCAGTCGTTTAGGCATCTATTTGCCGAGGTGCACATATAAGCTTATGTTTATGCATTTACGTTTCTGCTTGGCTGTACGTGTACTTCTTAACTGCGACAACTGCTATGACGATTACGAGTGTAACTTGACTGGCTCTGATTGCTTGTGCGTGCAACTGTTGCTGACAATCCTGCGCTTTTCCTGTCGAGCGCAGAAGGATTACGATCAGCATTGTCCGTACGATGATGATGATTTTGGGAATTTGGCGGAAATTGCATCTGGTGGTTGCCGAATCAGGTTCCTACCCAGAACCCTAAGGGATTTAAACGTGGAGTCCAAAAAACAGGTCTCCTAAAACTGCACGTGGCCTTAGATGGGCCTTTCTTAGGGGCCTGAATAATTAGAATGGGGTTTTGGGGCTCATTATACTACAACTATTATAAGGATCCCCACAATAGTACTGGTGATTATTTAAGCCCGTATATTACGTTTAACTGAATCACCCCGTGAAACCTTACCCGTTTCCGACCTCTCCGGTGCATTTAAGATTCAGGGTTAGGGTTCAGGGTTTAAGGTTTGCTTCCAATGTTTACAGTTCCGGGTCTTACACCACAAAACCGAAGCTCATAAGCTCGTAGCAAGGTTGCGGAGGAAGATTGTGCAACCGAATCGGTGGTGGATCGTCCTGAGTGAGGGAACCCCGGCATTCGGACGAAGTCGGCAAGAAGGATATCCCCAAGCTCAACCCATGAACCACTACAAACCCTAGATCCTAAACCTCTAAGCCCTACACACCCAAAACACCGCTTCTGCATCGACCCGTTCCCCAAATTGAGCCGTGAAGGAGTGCGAAGAAACCATGTGCACTTGTTTTGCACACGCTGGGCCTCATGCTTTATACAGTAGAAGCCAGAAAGTTGGAATATCATTATCGTAACCCCTTTGAGGTAAATTATAGGGGATCCTACCATTAATCCATATTCCAACTTTCGGGAGTTCCCTTTACGGTTATTTAAAAACCCGCGATCTGGCTCAGTGCTACGGTCTTGGGTTTAGGGTTTAGAGTTGAGGGTGCCCTGAACCCTAAACATTAGGGACATGAACGAAGAAATCTTCATCAGGAAGTCCAAGATAGGGCCTGGCATAATGAGCAATACTTCAACTTAGGGTTCCTTCACGCAGCTATGCCACAACCTATCCCAAAGCCCTATTCGAATTGTTCATAATATTACAGTCATTCAAACCTTTTGTCTTGACAACATGTAACTTTATTTGGATATACTTGGTGCAGTAAATGCAACATAAACCAAGGTATGGCCATTATCCGGGCCTTGATAGTTAGAATAGGGCTTCGGGGCCCATGATGCTATATTCATAATAAGGAACACCCAAAACGGCCCAAAACAGTATTGGTAATTGTCTGGGCCCCTATCCTAAACCCAAAACCCTATAGATCCCTTAAGGATACCCTCAGATACTGTAAGCGTTTAGGCCCCTATGTTACTCAGTCGCCGCAAGCTCTGACGGTAGCGCCTCAAGCCGTGGTTGACAAGACGCCTCCCTCTGGGCTTTGAAGTAACTAGGGAGAAACAAGCATGGACTTCTATGTAAGAAATGGTTCCCTTTAAGTACGTACAGTAGCAAGTCCCGGAAAAAGTTTTAACTTGACCCAAGAATAACCTAGGAATAAAGAGGGTGCCCTTTTTGGTTTAAAGGGGTTTAAAAGGGAATCTGAACCCTAAAAAAGGGAATAAGGGCCTACTCTAGGTCCTAGTTAAAGTGTGGTACTCCGAAACCCAGCTCTTGGCTCGGATTCTTTTCCTATTGCTCAGCTATCAAGGGTATAGGTACCTCTTCACCACGTCTGAATGAACTGCATTCTAGGACCCCCAGTAACCCAGAAATAAACAGGCTCCCTTGAAGGAACCTGCCGGCACAAAAGGGGCCCACTAAGAAACTCTAGTGACCTAGTGGTTCTAGGTTCCTGAGTAGGACCTTAATGCTCGGGGTACCTTTTTTTTTTGTTCCTACTGTTTGGCTTTAATGAGGGAGCCCCAAAATCATATAGGGCAAAAGGGTACTACCCAGGGATTGGTCTATCGTCGAGGCCCGTGGGCCTTTCAGGCTGCTTTGCTTGGGATCAGAGTGCCCAGAGGGTCCACATATACTACCATTATGGAATTAGGTTCCCAAAGCCATCATTAGGATGGTCTTTTGGGGCCTAATTCCAAAGCAGTAATGTATATGGACCCTTTGGGATGTAAGTGTAAGGCTGGGATCAAGGGCAGCTCGGGTGTAGGTTTCGGGGATTAGAGCTTGCGTGTGGGGGTTGGGGGTTTAGGTTTAATGGGTTCGTTTAGGCTCTTGCGCGCCCCCTCCCTGAAGACTTGACAGAGCATTACAAGCTGCTAACGCAGCTACTCAGTCCGTCGAAGGAACCCTGACGGAACTCCCACAACCTGAACCCCTTCAAGGAACCCTAAAAGGAACAACCCAAAATCCTGGGTAGCCGGCATCTTTGTCCATTTTCGCTGTTTCGCCCATGACGGCAACGGCAGCGTTCATTAGGCGGATAGGAACGAAAAGCAGCCCAGACTGCCTAAAGGATCTCTTACTACGCCAACTAGCCACAGAAACACAAGATTAAACTATTCGATTCTTACTAATTAAACTATAAGAACCCCAAAAGCCTGGGATCTAAGATCTAAATATACAGCGTCAAGATCTCCTATTAGTGCATAGCTTACAACGTAAGAGGATAAGCCTTGATTCAGGTCGCCTGGGAGCCGGCTGATGGCTTAGCCAGCAAATGGCTGCAAAGGCACGGTCGATGGGTTGCTGGGTTTAGGGTTTTGATTTTAGGGTTTTATGTTAAGGGGTTTAGGTTGCTTTGATGTTGCAGCAGTTGCTTGCTTTGGGGCTTATGTCTCAGGGCTCTGGGTTTAGGGCTTGAGGTTTAGGCATGAGGATTTAAGGTTGAATCGTCTAGGGATCAGGGTACAGATATTAAGTGTCTAGATGTAATCCTTACCTACCCAGTGCTGTAGGCGAACTAAGGGTTAACATTTGGGGAAATATCGTCTTAGGAATTGGGTGACTTACCCACCTAGTGTAGGAACTTACCTGATTAAGACATCCTGGGACTATAACCCAAAAATAGTGGGATTCATACAAGGAACCCTGACAAAGGCCCAAGGTTTCTTCATCAGGCTCCTACATTATTATAATACCCTTATAGATCCCTTATAGTAACCCTTATAGACCCCTTTAAGGGAACCCTAATAAAGGCCCAAGGCCCAAGGTTTCTTCATCAGGTTCCTACATTACTAAGAATTCGGGATGGTGAGGTTCTGGTACCTGGCAGAATGCGTCTCACCTGGTACCAACTAGGGCCCTTGATAGTTAGCTAGGATACCCAGTAACCTAAGAATAAAAAGGCCTCTCTTTTCGGTATTGGGTAACTTTATAAGGAACCTAGGACTACAAAAAGGGAATAAGGGTACTACTGGGCATCCTAGGTTAGAATAGAGTCTGGGGTATACTATATCTAATGCTCTTGCTACGCCTTACAAACCATCCCGACCCGCATAGTGAATGCTAACTCCTCCAAGTCTAAACCCTCAACAAGCCTTAAACTATCGACCATACGCCTATATACGTAGAGGCAGTTCGTCTTTCTGGCATGTTTTTAGGAACGGAGCCTATGGGCACCCTAAACCCTAAACCCCAAACCCTTAAACCCTAAGCCCTAAACCCCAAACCCTTCAACTCTAAACCCTAAATCCCAAACCCTTAAACCCTTAAAAAAAAACCTTAGACCCCTCAACCCGTAAAACCCCGAAACCCCTAAACCCCAAACCCTTAACAAGCCAAGCTGCAAAGCAGAAGTGTCCGTAACGATCGGATGAAGCCTGGTTTCGGGGTTCCGAGCTAAGGGTGTCGGTGTTGGGGGTTCCTTTAAAGGGATCTATAGGCTTCCTTTGAAATGATCTATAGGTGTTCCTTTAAAGGGGTCTATAAGGATACTATAAGGGTCTTAGGGTTTAGGGCTTAAGGGGGGCCTAGGGTCTATGTCGGGTGTTGGGGCTTTGGGGTGTGGGGTGTAGATTGAGCTTGTTGTGGAATTTCGGGCATAGGGTTGCGTTATCGGCTTGGGGATGAAGATAAAGGATTGTGGGTCTCGGAGATACGAGTCATTCAGTGCAGGCTTTAAAGGTTCAAGGTTAGTTCAGGGAGTTTAGGGTCTAGGGTTTTTAGGGTTTAGGTTAAGGCAGGGTTGAGGACTGTTAAGGTTTGACTGGATTTCGGGTTGAAGGCGTATGGCTGTGCTTCAGGGTCTATCTTGGGTTCAGGGCTTAGGGTTTAGGGTTTAGGCTCCGGTTTCACCTCCTTTTTTCGCTACAAACTGTAGTTGACAGGTCAAGCCAGTCACAGATGTTTGTATTACCATGACTATATAGAGAACTCCAAAGACGCTCTTCGAATAACCCTAAGCCCTGAGCACAAGCTTTGGGACGCTTTGAGGTTTCCTACTTGTCGGGTATCATGGGTAACTAAAGGTTAAGCTTTTTGGGTGTATAGGGACCATATAGGGACTATATTACTCAAAAGAGGCTAAAGGTTACCTACTCTACTACTAGGGTTTTAATGCAACGAATCAGGCGGACTTAGTATGAAACGCAGATCGCTAGGCATCCTGTAGAGAAGGTCCCTTGCCCGTCTAATTGAGGGGTCTTAATAATTGGAATAGTCTTTTGGGGCCCATTATATTACATTTATACTAAGAAACCCCCAAAATAGTATAGGTAACTATTTCAGCCCCTATATTATTCTTTTTATGGTGGACCTCTATAACGGGCAACCCTGAATACACCCTACGCCCAAGCTCAACCCCTAAATCCGACAAAGATCCGAAACAGTTCTACAACCAGTAGATCTAGAACTCTGTCAAGCCCTACGGTTGATGATATTATGATGTACGTCCTGCATTAACATTACCCATAACAAGGAATATGCCACAATTCTAGCAGCTTGGGGTCATTATGGTGATGCAGGATTTATATCATCAGGCGTAGCAACCCTCAAAACCCCGACCCCCCGCTGACTGAACCCTAAAACCCTAAACCCTCAACCCTAAACCCTAAACCCCTAAAGCCTGAATACACCCCCTAAACTAGATCCCAGATGGGAGTTTCCGAAAATAGGGGACCCTAATATAGTACCCCAAATAGCAGGATCCTTAATATAAGGACCCCAAAATAAGGTACCCCTATTTTCGGAAACTCCCATATAGACCCCTTTAAGCAAAAGCCAGAAAGTTGGAATATGATTATCCTAAACCCTTGATGGTAAATTATAGGGTATCCTACCCTGAAACCATATTCCAACTTTCTGGAGTTCCCTTTAATAATTAGGGACCATAAAGGTACCCTAAATAGAAGGATCCTTATCATGAGGACCATAAAGTAAGGTCCCCTAATTTTTGGAAACTCCCATATAGACCCCTTAAAGCAACCCGTACGGGTTCCTTTCATCAGCACAGCCAAGTCGAGCAGCGAACGAGCCGAACGATGCGAAAGGCTCGCGTGATCTTGGCGACTCGTAGGATTCCTGGGTGTTACTCGTAGGATTTGGGTTTAAAGGGATCTCTTAGGGTTCCTTTGATCCTTTAAAGGGATCAATAATGGTTCCTTCAAGGGGTCTATAAGGGTACTATTGGGGTTGTTAGGGGTTTAGGGGGGCCTGGGGTTTATGTCTGGTGATGGGGCTTCTGGGGGCCTAGGGTGTGGATTGAGCTTGTTGTGGAATTTCGGTTTAGGGCTTTAGGGCTTTAGGGGTTTAGGGTTTAGGGTTTCAAGGGTTTAAATAGGGTTTTTAGGAACCTGATTAAGAAACCTTGGGCCTTCATTGGGGCTCCTTGTATGAATCCCACTATTTTGGGGGCTATAGTCCCTGGGTTTCTCAATGAGGTTCCTACATTAGAGAAGTTTGGAGGGTTTGGGGTTTAGGGGTTTAGGGGTTAAGGGTTTAGGGACTTAGGGATTCAGGGTTTAAGGGTTTAAGGGTTTAGAGGTTTAGGGCTTAGGGGTTAGGGTTTAAGGGTTTAGGGTTTAGGGTGCCCGTAGGCTCCATTGTAGTTCCTTCTTGGGATGATCCTAAATATGAACCACAAAAAGGAAAAAATTAGCCTCTTAGGTGGGTGCACTCTTCGAACGGGTAAGGTTAGCGTCAGACTTTAGTGGAAGAGTTGCTACACCGCGCCCTTCAATAGTCGCTTCCTGCAATGCAGAAGCCAGTGGATTTGCCAGGCGCAATGGCTTGGCGACGTGGTGGGTGGGAGCAAGGCTGTATTTTATGACGGCGCCTAGCGGATCCGGGGACCCGGTTGGCAACACCTCTCGGACTCCGGCATGCCATGTGTTCATAATGTTGTCCATCCATAAATTGCAGAGCGCAGCGCCCTCAGCGACTTCGCCACGCTCGACTGACGCCAGCAACTGCGCTCCTTCCTTCCGGCTTTTTGGAGAGGGTTGGCTTGGTTTGTGCATTGTTCTTGATGTTGGTTCCCTAAATACCCTAGCAGCATGCCAAGCATAGGGTTTAGGGGTTTCGTGCCCGAACAAAATGAGCTAATAGAAGCCTAAACACTAAACTCCTAGTTTGTTTCTGTCAAGGCCTCCATGCGGCAGACCGTGGTAGACCGGTGCTGTTGCTGTGGCGCCCCGCGAAGTCGTGCGCTTTCACGTGCCGGGTTCGGGGGTTGGGGGGTTTAGGGTTTAGGGACAAACGTCTTTTGGGGTTTGGGGCTGGAAAAATCCTTAAATCCTAAACCCTAAACCCCTAAAACCCTAAACCCCTAAAACCCTAAACCCCTAAAGCCCTAAATCCTTGAACCCTAAACCCTAAACCCTAAATCCCTAGACCTACCCCCTGAATCCCTAAACCCTAAATCCCTAAACAGTAGATCCCCAACCCCTAAACCCAAAAAGCATGAGACTTTCCTCTTCCTCAGGCTCAGGGCTTAGTAGGTCTACTTGGAGGATCGTGGGACTTAGTAAGGCTTAGTAAGTATGGTTATACGTACCTTAATTGGGGTTTATAAGTACTTATAACTATAGTTACCTTACTTATAACCCCAACTACTAAGTCCCCTGATCCTCCAAGTAGGTTCCAAGAATTGCTTCGGGGATTGGGGACCATGGAGGGCTCCTTCTAATCAGGATCCCTAGGTTCAGGGTTTAGGGGTTTAGGGTTTAGGGCCTAACCCGGACCCCCGGGAGGATCTGGAAAGTAGATCCCCTAATATCGGGCCCTATACTACTAAGGGTACTTTATAGGAACCCCCATTAAGGGATCTACTTTTTGGATCCTCCCGGGGGTCTGGGAAAAAGAAAAAGCAAACAATCATTTCGGCCCCTTTGATCCCATGCAACTGGAGCCGCTGTAAAATCCCCAAGACATGGACCTATTCAAAGCCCCGAACGATAAAGGACTTGGGTGCAGAAGAGCAGCGAAGCAAGCGCATGTTCGTGAAAACGTTGGTG